CAGGAGGCCGTGGCAGGAAGACAGATTGAGCCCAGGAGTTCAAGGGTGCAGTGAGCTATGATGGCAACACTGTACTCCAGCCTGGGTGACAGAGTGAGATTCTGTCTCTAAAACAAATAAATAAAAATTTTAAAAAAGAGACCTGGAGTTGGAATTAGGAGAAACAAAATAGACTTCATTTAATACACGTCTAATGAATACCTGTAACTTGCCTATACTGTTATAGGCTCTCATTATACGACATGAACAAGAGACAGAAAAAACTGCTACCCTCACAAAGCTTTCACAGAATTGGTAGAAAATGTACCTACTTAACCTTTCTGAATCTTCATTTCATCTGTAAAATTAGGGAACTGAACTCTTGTGTTTTTCAAACTGTGCTTAAAAACAACTGAACCTCTACTTCTATTTTAACCACAACCACTTTGCTTTTTTCTGATTTCTCTATCAGGGATCTATATACAACGCCCTTTGGAAGAACAAATCTTTAAAAAAAAAAGTTTGTGGGCCAGGCTCCGAGGCTCACGTCTGTAATTCGAGCACTTTGGGAGGCCGAGGCGGGTGGATCGCGAGGTCAGGAGATGGAGACCATCCTGGCCAACATAGTGAAACTCCATCTCAACATGGTGAAATTAGCCAGGAGTGGTGGCATGCGCCTGTAGTCCCCACTACTCAGGAGGCTGAGGCAGGAGAATCGCTTGAACCCAGGAGGTGGAGGTTGCAGTGAGCTGAGATTGCGCCACTGCACTCCAGCCTGGCAACAGAGTGAGACTCCGTCTCAAACAAACAAAAAACCTTTGCCATTTGCTAACCACTTGCAAAAGAAAAAACAGGGCCCAGCCTAGGGGCTCACGCCTGTAATCCCAAGACTTTGGTAGGTCTAGGCAGGAGGATCGCTTTAGGCCAGCAGTTTGAGAACAACCTGGGCTACATGGTGAGACTCAGTCTCTATAAAAATAAAAATAATTAGCCAAGAGTGGTGATGCATACCTGCAGTCCTAGTCACTTGGGAAGCTGAGGCAGGAGGATCACTTGAGCCCAGGAGATTGAGGCTCCACTTAGCTATGATATAGCCACTGACTATAGCCTAGGTGGCAGAGAGACACCGTCTCTAAAACAAACAATAAAAACCAAAAAACTTTTTTCACTCTACTCTCATTCCGCACAGACCACTTCTGTGACCAGATGTGTGAATTTTTGTTTTTATTTTTCCCCAGCAGATACCAACTGGGTGTCCTCCAATTCAATTCAATTCTGACCTGAAGTTAGCCTCAGATCCCTGAGTTAGATACCTACCTGAAGTTAGACTCAGATCTAACTCAGATTAAGGGTTCAGTCCCACAAGACTGCTCCCCATGTCAGATGCCTATCACAAGTATCATAAGTAGCAGGTTGCCATCTGTACTTCTGAGGAACCAGCTACGAACTGGAGCTTCTACTACCCCCTCCTTAGGTTCAATCACTTTGGTAGAAGGGCTTGTGGAACTCAGGAAAACACTTATATTGTTTATTATAAAGGATACAGATGAACAGCCAAATGAAAGAGATGTACAGGGCAAAGGATGGGGGCAGGTGTCGCCACCCTCCCAGCATCTCCACATGTTCAGCAACCCAGGTCACTAAATCTTACTGTTCTAGAGTTTTTATAAAGCTTCAGCTCCAGCCTATCCACTTCCCTTCAAAGGGGATGATGGGTGGGGACTGAAAGTCCCAACTCTGTAATCACTTGGTCTTTCTGGTGACCAGCTCCAGCCTGAGGCTGTCTAGGAGACCCATCTTAAGTCATTTCATTAGTATAAACTCAAATGTAATCAAAAGAAGCTCCTTGTGAGTAACAAGCGACACTCCTATCACTCAGGAAATTACAAGAGTTTTAGGAGCTGTTTCAGGAACCCAGGACAAAGGTCAAATGTATTTCATATTACACCACAACACTGAAGTAAGTGATCTCTGGGTACCATTCCAGTTTTGCAATTCTGTCTGTTTTATGCTCATATTTCTGACCTATTTCTTTTTCACCATGTCTGGAATTCCACAGAGCTACATTAAAAGGCTAACTACTTTATGTAGGGCTGAAAAATAAATGAGAAACCCAAGTGACTGCTTACTAGATGCTGATACCATGTAGCAAACTTTTTTTTTTTTTTTGAGATCAGCAAACAAAACAAAAAGAGATTTAATCTGATTTCTCTACTTATACTAATCCCTTCCACAAAAACAAAAATCCTTCTGGAGGATGAGGTGTGAGGATCACTTGAGCCCAGCAGACCAGCCTGGGCAATACAGGGAGACCTTGTCTCTACCTGACCCTAGTTCTTATACTTTACCATAACTTTCAAATTTCCTAGCATAACATTTAAGGCCTTTCTGCAACATGGCCCCTTTTAACCTGTTCCTTTCAGCTTCAATGCCTTGGCTTCCCATGCCACCCAGCACCCTCTGCACCTCTTGACTCCTTTCACTTTCCAAGCCTGCCCTGCACTTTCATATTTCCAAACTTCAGTTCATGCTGTAACCTCCGCTACCGACAACCTTTCCCTCCCACCCCAACCTGTCCAGTCCCTCAAGGCTAGCCAGAACCAATTCAAACATTATCAAATACAGGGCAAGTTAGGAGAGAGGCAGGGACTCTGTCTCATCTACTACCCTAACCTTGAGTACCCAACTGGTAAGCACGCAAAAAATGTTGAAATGATTATTGCAACATTAAAGGAAAGTAGTGATTATAAACAGGAGAACTCAAGCATCATCTGTATTCGGCATCCAAACATTGATTTGTTCTTACAGATTTTAACATCCTGATTACACTTGGCTGAGTACATATCCTGGCATTCTTGAGTGTTCACAAAATTTATAAGGTTGAAATAAACATTTGCCACTTTAAAAACTGTTCACTAAGATGATAATGCATATTCAAAAAATCAAGGAAAGACACATTCCTTGAATCACTGGTAAACATGAGTCTACAATGTTCTAAAAGACTTGGGCTCTACTAAATTATCGTCTTCTAGTTCCTTCATAAAGATATTTTAAAAACAAACAAAAACAAGAACTTATATTAAGGTTACAACAACAAACACGGCTCACAAATAATATTTTTACATTTGTTCAGGTGTACACCACCAATAACCCTGGTCATATCCAAAAGCGATTATAGTAAACAATGACTACTGAGAGTACAGCATGTAATATTGATAGGTAAGGCTGATCCAAAGAATACTGAGGCTAAAGTATCACTTTTGTTTATAAAAAAAATCAACCTCTGCTTCTCAGGACAAACGATACACTTCATATTTGAAAAGCATCAGTTGTAAAACTTAGATGTTGGTTAAACTAATTCATAAAGTTCAGCAGATTTTCACTAGGAAATTAGATAAAACAGGTCAATCATTTGGAGAGTACTAATGTAGTTTGGTTCTCGTACCAACACAGGACAGAGGTATTTTTCTACATTCAGTCAATTACTTTCCAAGGTTTTCATCTGACATATTATCAAGCCTATAAGGAGAATTCCCCCACCCTTGGCCCCTATCCTCGAACATTCCAAATCTCAGCATTAGGGAATGCATAACCTAGAGACGATCATTTTGCAGCCTACTAAAAACCCACGACCTTAATATGAAAGCGGCTTTCGTGTTGCATTTGGCTGCTGCCTGTATGAAGGCCTTGCCTCAAAGCAGGGCCAACTCTGGCACGTTTTTCCATCTCTGAAAGTGGAGCTAGGAAAAACACCCAGATCTAAAGATGTTCGTTTAAATCCGTTTACACCTGCTCCCTTTCAAACACTACAAGCAAACTCCAAAAGCTCGAGCAGCAGCCGCAGCGGCAATGACAGATCTTGAGGCCGAACTGGGTCAGGGTTACAGTTACACTTACATAGCATATTTACACCCTTTTGTCTACAAACTTGAGTGCAAACTTAAGTTTCCTCAAGGCAGCGTGTTCGCTGGGCCTCAGTAACCGAAGCAATTTTCCTGAGGCAGGAAGGGCACAATCCACCCTGCTGGTGGCTGCACCAGCCTTCCCCAGACCACGCACTCTGCGGCCTCGGCTTCTGGCCCGCTCCCGCAGCCAAGGGGTCGCTCGGGGCAACTCGCCTGCGCCCAAGCTGGGTAACTGGGTTTTACTACATGGGTTCCCAGCTTTTCAGTCGCCCCTACTCGCCCCCGGCGGTTTCGCGCCCGGGGTCGCATTACATAAACACCCCCGGCCCCAGCTTTCCCACGCCGACCCCGGCCCCACGCCAGGGGCGTCCAACCCCCGCGCGCCCCGCGCCGCGCCTTCCCTGCCCCCTACCCGAGCCCAGCGCGGACCCCGCAGCCTCCGCACCGCGCCCGCTCCCCTCCTTCGGGCCGGGCCTGGCCCCGGACGCCCTTCCCGGCCAGCCCCGCCCCGATGTGGCCGCGCAGGCCGCCCAGCCGGTGCTAGGCCCCGCGCTCCGCCCGGGCCGCCCGCCTCACCGTTCTGCTGGTGCGGCGCCGGGGCCGGGCCCGCGGGCGCTGCGGCTCCTGAGGCGGCCGCTCCGCCGAACTTGGGCGGGATCCGGGCGCTGGCGGCCGGGTGAGGGGACCCGGCGGGGGCCGACATGACGGCGCTGCTGGCGACGGCGGCTCCGCTTCGGAGAGGTGGGCGGAGGGAAGAGAAGGCGGGGCCGGAGAGGCGAGAGGAAGAGGAAGGAACGCGCCTGGCGTCACTGAGGGTGTAACCCGGGACCGCGGCTCAGGTGCTCACGCTTCTCCGCAAGCACAGCGCTGCCGCTCGGCCGCCCCCGCGGGCGCGGGGATCCTGAGTCGCTCCGCCTTGCCCCACGCGCCCCAAGCCGCGGGACTTACACCTGGGGTCGCTTCCCGCACGCGCGGACCTCGCGCCGGTGCCGCCGCAGCGCCCCCTGCAGGCCGGAGCCGAGCTGGCCCAGGCCTGAGGTTGGCCCGGGGTTCCACGGCCACAGTGCCGGCCCCACGACTGCTGCTCCGGCCCGGCCAAGCTACCTTAATGTTGAGGCGGGAGGCCTGGGCCTCAGTGGGTGAAGGGACCGGGTGGCCCGCTCCCACCTTGGGCAGAGGCTCGACCGACCGCGGCGAGGCTGGGCCCGGCATTACTGGGAGGCGAACTTGAGAGCTGCGGGTTAATGTGCGGAGCTCAGGCAACGCCAGATCCGACTGACCCACCCACCCTTCCTCGAAGAGGAACAGTGACTTGGGTTTGGTTTTTAATTTTTGATTCCCCCACCTCCCCTTTCTTAATTCCAAAGGAAATAAAGCATTCAAGCTCCATGTCTGTTGGGAATATATAATTCCTTGATAAAGAAAGAGGAAACATTTCTCTGATAAACACAAGAATCTCAGTAAGAATTGCATTATTGAGAACTTTTCCCACTGATAAAGTAGGGAAGAGGAAGGGGAAAATAGGGTAAGGGAATGCTGGAAGACAAACTTTATCTTCTTTTTTTTTTTTGTCAAGTGTTGGCGCATCCTGTTGGTGTTCGGAGAAGTTGTGGCTCAGCTTGCTTTGTCTGCATTAGTGGAATCTTTTAAGTCTTTCTGGTCTGTCTCAGCATACTCACTGGCAGGCCCTAGACTACATTACCCAAGTCATTTTGCCGTCTTGGAATCCTGAGTATGTCATCATTCTGTATCGGAGATGAGATTGCTCGGAAACGCTGGATTCAGAATGGTATCTAGCAAGATGGTATTTCTGGAGCACTAAGTCATTTCCTGAATCATTATGCAAAGCATAAATTGCATTGTAGTCCTAGAATAATACAAAGCTTCCCTTTAGTTGTTACCGTAAATTAATAACTGGCATTTTAATGCACTACAAATAGGATTTTAGTAGTTAGATTTATACCTTTGACTTCTAGGAATTTCAACTACATTAGAGTCCATATACACAAAAGGGGCAAGCTCTTTTTTCCACAGCGTTTCCAGCTTCTCCACAGAAACCTAGCCCCACACGAGCAAAAGATCACACTCTGTGCTTCATCAAAGAGATTACACAATTACAGATTCCAGCATCTCTCAGGAGTCCTTTGAATTTGGATTAAGGTCTATAATTACGTGGGTAAGGGAATAACTAGGTAATTGGCTTTCTGCACCTGGAATGTATTCTCCTGGGTATAAGAGGCTCATTTTAATCAGAAGTATATGGGATGAAAGTGAACCCTGTCTCTTAAGGGGAGACTCCTTAAGAGGAGGATTGGAGCCCTATGTTTTAATAGATCTTCTCCACAATCTTTAATACCTAAGCTGCTTCCCCTTGTCCACTAATTTGCTGTAGAATTTTTCTAGCACGTTTATGATGGTGTTCAGGGCACACTACCCCAAAATATAATACCTTAGCATACTGAATATTTTAAGCTGATGACATTTGAGAAATGGCAGGTGTGAGGACTCTGACATTCCCGTGAAGCAGGTCTAAGACCCTCATGTGAGAGATGCCCTCCCTATACCTGGAGAAAATAAGCAATCTTTTCTGTGAAGACAGAGCCAAGAGGAATCTAAATGAGTAGGCCTTGGTAGGTTTCCCCCAGTTTACTGCCATTAGCTCACCTTTTTGTCTTACCACATTTTCCCATAAGAGTCTACTTTTCATCAAACCTAGTATAAAACGCTCAGGTTTCTTCAGGTCTTCATTTCCTTATGAAGGCTCCAATGCCATGTAAAACTTACGTTAAGTATTATACATTCATTTGCCTTTCTTTTGTTACAGACACCCCACATGGACCTTGAGCTGTCGCTGCCATGGCACCCCTTCTAGAAGGTAGATATTTTTCCTCCCAACAAACCCTACAACCTTTATGAAAATATTTCACTCTTTTGCTTTAATTTCCATTACTGCTATAAGTGAAAAAAGGATGAAGGATTGAACGAACAGGATTGAACCATCTACTAGGCACTGTGCTTGTAACTTTAGGTATGTATTTTTTTCTATTTATTCCTAACAATAACTCCACGGGATATTTTTCTTATCCTTATTTTATCTGTGAAGAAACTAATGCTTATAGAGCTCAAATAAACTTAGTAAAAATCATAAACCGATAATTAGCAGAACCAGAGATCAAACCGAGGTTTATTTAGCTCCAGACCATTGCTTTACTATAAACTATACTGCGTTAATGTACATTTTTCTTCATAAAGCTATGCTAGTTATGATTTACTATCTTGCTGTCAAAAGATTTTCGGTTTTTCATATTTAGAATTTGTTCCAGTATACTTTATAATGGTAGATCTCAGAGTTTTTGAAATGCAGATTTATGGGCCCAAATCCTGGACCTACTGATTCAGAAGCCTTGGAGATAGGGCCCTACAGCAAGCTCTCCAGGCAATTCTGATGCTTGGGAAAGTTTGAGGACCACTGCTTTTGAATAGCAGAGTTAAGCTGAATTGATTCATTCTCTTACTATGGAAGATGATGGTCCTTTCTTTCAGGACATCTCTTCAATCTTTTACAGACCAATGAAAGTGGCATTTTGTGGATTTGTGATCACAGTGTCACAAATGGCAATTATGATGTTTCCTGTGTCAACTCAGATTCTTTGAGGTGTAGTGTTGATACAGATGCTGAGGCTAAGTCTGTGTTCAGTGAGAAAGAGTGGGTAATTGAATTAATCTCTGCTGCATATATGCAAGTGAAATAACACGTGTGTTACTATTTGTCATCCCCAACTTACGACTCTATTCTGTGTAACAGAAGTGGGAGCCTTGGACAACTGAACACCTATCAAGAAATGTCAGCTCTTTTTTTTTTTTTTTTTTTGGGACTGTCACCCAGTCTGGAGTGCAGTGGCACCATCTTGGCTCTCTGTAACCTCCACCTCCTGGGCTCAAGAGATTCTCCTGCCTCAGCCTCCTGAGTAGCTGGGACTACAGGTATACACCATCACTCCTGGCTAGTTGTTGTGTTTTTAGTAGATAATGGGGTTTTACCATGTTGGCCAGGGTAGTCTTGAACTCCTGACCTCAGGTGATCTGCCTGCCTCGGCCTCCCAAAGTGCTGGGATTACCATGCCCGGCCAAGAAATGTCAATTCTTTATTGTAGCCTGGCTTTCCATATTCCTCCACCAGGCTTTTTATTCTCTAGTTTTTAAATCACATTTGGCATTTGTAGATCACTCCTTCCCTTTTAGTGGCATTCTCTATGAGGTGTACCTCTCCTAATATGAAGAAACAATTTTCTTCTTTCTCCTCCTTTATCTGATCCATTTACAGATGTATTACATTTGTAATAGGCTAGGTATTAGGGATACAAAAATGAATAAGATATGGTCTGTTCTCAAAGGTATGCAGAAACTTTTCTATATGTTCCCATTGACTTGTATTTATATTTCTTGAATTAAAAAAAAAAACTGGCTGTGGTTTTTCTTGTTTGTTTTTTGCTCTTAGTGAATCTTTGTTCTTTTCATTATGGCTTTCCAATTTGAGTTTCACTACTCATTATCATGAGAATAAATAATTTTACTGACTTTAATAATATTTGATCACTTATATTAATGTCATTTAACTCTCATTTACATTTCAGTGGTCTAAAACACAACTAAGATACTAAAAGAAAAATAAAAGATGAGATTATTAGGCAAATAATTACCACATAGTCAACTCATGAACAATACTGCATGCGCTTACAGGAAATCTCTGTCACATAAACTATTTGGCTATTATTTCAGATATGCTGTAATTTCTGTAGTTACACACTTATCTAGCCCACGGCAGATTAGAAACTATGAATCACAAGACAAGGGAAGGAAATGCTGTTAATATAGGTAGCTTGAGAGGAGCAGTCACTATTAGTTGGCAGAATAAGCACAGGAAAAACAAAAAAATTAGAAAAATGAATTAAAAATGCATGGTAGTCTGACACAATTAGTTACATTGAACAACCCTATTTATTCCACTGGAAATATGATAAACATAGTCCACAAGTTTCTACCATCTGAGAAATTTCTAACCTAATATACTGATGGAAATAAAGTGAATGGAACTGTCATATACCAAACACCTGCTTTATAACTTGAAAGCGCTTTGTGACATCACCATGTCTCAGGACCAAAACAGATATTCATAGCTTTGGCCCTCAATTACAAAGAAAAATTAAATTATGCTCTGTACTCTGTTTCAGAAGATTAGAGGAATATAGAACCCATTTTGGAACTTTGGAAACTCTTTTACATATGAACAGGTTAGGTTCCAAAATTTCGATTGTTCATAAGTCCCAATACTCCCAAGTTCAGAGTAAGCCACATGTGCATTTCCAGAAAACAGAAAAGTGAGCCAGTCCTTTGCAACTTTAGAACCAAGCTTACTCTTCTCCTTTTTACTGATATAAGTTGTATATGGTGCACTCCAAACTAAGGCACGTATGAATCTCTTGATGATCATGTTAAAATGAAGATGCTTATTGGGTAGGGTTAGGATGACATGAGAATCTACATTTCTAGCAAGCTCCCAGGTGATGCGAATTCTGCTGATCCATGGACCACACTTTGAGTAGCAAGGTTCTAAAGGGCATTTTTTGTTGGATTTACATTTGAAGTCCCTTAAGGAAGGAAATGCCCCTCCTTGATGATCCTAAAGGAACTTCTTAGCAGCTGCAGTATATTCACACCTGCTACCACTCATGTTGATGTTGTACAGATTAAAATGGGCCTAGCACCCTTGCTTTCCATAATTTTACTTTCTTAGGCCTTTAAGATACTTGAACCATCTCCTAATGGGTTAATGGGCACCCAAGGTTGACAGTGATCTTCTCATCACATAGTCAACAGTGTGTACATTTTGCCAATTACTTTTCTTCTTACTGATTATTGTTTATTATAGAAAAATGGTGAATTAGTCTGCTTTGGCCACCTTAACAAAATACCTTAAACGAGGTGGCTTAAACAACAGAAATGTGTTTTCCCACAATTCTGGAAGCTGAAAGTCTGAGATGAGAGTGCTAGCATGATCAGGTTCTGGTAAAGGTTCTCCTCCTGGCTTGTAGATGGCCACCTTCTCTCGCTGGTCCATACATGGCACGCAGAGATGGGGAGAGAGCAAGCTGTCTGGTGTCTCTTGGTATAAGGGCACCAGTTCTATTGGACAAGGCTCTGCCTTTATGACTGCATTTAACCTTAATCACCTCCTTAAAGGCCCTCTCTTGAATACAGTTACATGGGGGGTTAGGGCTTCAACATTTGGATTTTGGGGGTATGGAATTCAGTCCATAGCAAATGGAGATTTCATACAGCATGAGTCACTCTTTGCTTTTCAGAATTGTTCCTAATTTCAACTGGGTCATACTACTTTATTGTATATTTATTATTATGAATTTTCATTTTTAAATCTCTGCTTTTTAAATCTTCACGTCACTCTTACTACCACCTTCAAAATTCTCACTTCTTTCTCACTGACATCGATGTTGGGATTAATATTTATAAAGCACAGTTTTAAAACATAAACTCATAATAGGCCCCAAATTAATAAAAAGATGACCTACATCAGGGCACCACTATACCAGGGCACACTGAATGAGTGCAATTCATTATAAGATGTAACAAGATATTAAACCTCTTCAGACGCTGGGACAGCTAAGGGGTACTCAAGTGATCCTCAGGCTAGTCTTCTTTGGCTGCAAGCATCCTTGTCTTTTACCCAACAAAAATATCCTTATTTTCTAGCTGTGTTATGACATGAAGAGGCTGGGAAGCACTGCCCTAGACTAAAATTACTGTGCACAATCTTCAGTGCCATCTGCTGGAAGGAGACAAAGTTGCTATATTATGGCTCTAGAAGGTAGATTTATATATTCATTCATTCATTTGAGATAGGGTTTCACTCTGCTGCCCAGGCTGGAATGCAGTGGCGCAATCACAGCTCACTACAGTCTCAACCTCCTAGGCTCAAGTGATCCTCAGCCTCCCAAGCAGCTGGGATTACAGGAGTGCACCACCACACTGGGCTAATTTTTAAAAATTTTTAATAGAGATGTCTCTATTGTCTCGCTGTGTTGCCCAGGCTGGTCTCTCAAGTGATCCTCCAGCCTTGGCCTCCCAGAGTGCTGGGATTACGGGTGTGAGCCACCATGCCCAGCCTAGATTTATTGTTATGTGTAAAATTAAGTTAAAAGATCATAAGGAAGTATTTATGAGTTACAAAGGATTGGTATAAAAACTTTTTTTACTAGTTGAAAGAATAAACTTCAATTACATGAAAAATGTAAAACACAGCTGTTTCCTAAAAAATAATAATAATAATGCCAGACAAAAAATGTTGGGGCAGACCCAGTGGCTCACGCCTGTAATCCCAACAGTTTTGGTGGCCAAGGTGGGAGGATCACTTAAGCCCAGGAATTTGAGACCAGCCTGGGCAACAGAGTAAGACCTTGTCTGTACAAAAAGTCAAAAAATTAGCCAGGTATGATGGCGTGTACCTGTGGTCGTAGCTACTCAGCAGGCTGAGGCAGGAGGATCACTTGAGCCTAGGAGGTCGAGCCTGCAGTGAGCCATAATTGAGCCACTTGCATACTCCAGCCTGGGCAGCAGAGACTCTGTCTCTAAATAAATAAATAAATAAATAGTTGAACATACTAATTCAGTTAAAAAGGACACACTTTTAAAAAAGAATATTGATAAGTCAGAGCACCACTATGATGGCAGGGTGTTTACAAAGTTTGTGATATACCATATACAAAAATCAACTCAAAATGGACGAAAGACTTAAAGACCTGGAACTATAAAACTAATGGAAGAAAACATAGGGGAGAAGCTCCATGATATTTGTCTGGGCAAAGATTTCTTGAATATGAAAATCACGGGCAACAAAAGCAAAAATTAACAAATGAGATTGTATCAAACTAAAAACCTTTTGCACAAGAAAGGAAACAATAAAGAGACAACCTACAGATTGGGAGTAAAAACTATTTGCAAAGCATACATCTGAGAAGGGGATAATATTCAAAATATATAAGGAATGTAAACAATTCAATAGCAAGAAAACATATAACCCAATCAAAAAATGGGCAAGGAATCTAAACAGACATATCTCAAAAGACATAAGAATGGCCAACAGATATGTGAAAAGATGCTCATCATCACTAATCATCAGGGAAATGCAAATTCAAACCACAATGAGATATCACCACATACCTGTCAGAATGGCTTTTATCAAAAAGACAAAACATAGTGTTGGTGAAGGTGTGGAGAAAAGGGAACTCATGCACTGTTGGTAGGAATCATGGAAAACTATGGAGTTTCTACAAAAAACTAGAAGTAGAATTGCTGTATGATCCAATGATCTCACTTCTGGGTATGTCTCCAAAGGAATGAAAATCAATATGTCCAGGAGATATCTACATTGCTATATTCATTGTAGCACTGTTCACAATAAATAACATTCGGAACCAATCTTGGTGAATCAGATAAATAGATAAAGAAAACGTGGGCCAGGGAAAGGTGGCTCACACCTGTAATTCCAGCACTTTGGGAGGCTGAGGTGGGAGGATTCCTGGAGCACAGCAGTTTAAGGATGCAGTGAGCTAGGATTGCACCATTGCACTCCAGCTTGGGCAACAGAGTGAGATCCTGTCTCTTAAAAAAAACAAATACAAAAACAAAAAGAAAGAAAAAAAGAAAATGTGAAATAGACACACTTCCCAGTCTGGAGTGTGGTTGTGCTATCCTAGCTGACTATAGCCTGGAACTCATGGGGTCAAGTGATCTCCCCACCTCAGCCTCCAGAGTAGCTGGGACTACAGGTGTATGCCACCTCCCCTGACTAATTTTTAAGAATATTTTTGTAGAAATGGGA